ATCTGTGCCTGTGACTGGAAGGTTGCTGGTTCAAATCCAGCAGCCGGCAGAGGAATCCTACTCCGCTGGGCCCCTGAGCAAGGCCCTAAACCCCAACTGCTCCAGGGACACTGTACAATGGCTGACCCTGCGCTCTGACCCCAAGCTTCTCTCCCTGTCTGTGTGTCTGTGTCTCATGGAGAGCAAGCTGGGGTATGCGAAAAGACGAATTCCTAATGCCAGAAATTGTATAGGGCTAATAAAGCAACATTATAACATTATTATTAATTGCATATTCCTTGATTTGAAACTGTGAAAAGTTATACCTAGGTTAATTATGCTAAGAACACTTAGTACAGAACAGCAGTTGTGTGATTTGTATTTGCAGATAGTATGATTATGGATATATTTTTTATCGTGAGATAAACTCAGTGGTTACAGACATGTTCCTATCTGTGGTGGCAAGGGCTAGTTAAAGTGAATTGCCACAATAATAATAGTTAAAACCTATTGTTTGGGTCTGTACCAGCACAGATAGGGGAAGGATGTTGGAAGACTCAGCTTGCATCATGACACGTCTGTTCTTTTATCTCAATTGAAAGCAGTATACAGACTTCGTTAAGCACCAGGAGTACTTTGTGGAATTCTGGCTGTAATGAATGTTTTTATTTCCCAAAACACACCCACCATTGTAAAATAGACAGGAAATTGCTAGTCATTTGTCATGTTAATCATTGTAGACATTCTATAAAAATAGTTACTGCCTCTGTCACATACTGTAATGTCTGGGACGTTTAAAAAAGCTGTCTGCCTAGCTTGCCAGGTACGTTCCGCAGCTCCGTGCTAGTGAAATAAAGAGAGCTGGGGGTTTAGACGGGACGGTGCTTAGATAAGAAGTAACGTAAACCAAAGAACAAGGAAGGTGTAAGGGAAAAAAGCCAGAAGGTTAGGACCAACATCAGTCTGAAGTTCAAACCTGTTTTTTTTTTAACAGATAAACCTATTTCGTTTAAAAAGTGGTCAACAATGTCATATCCAAGCGGTTATCTGTTTTGGTTAAGATGACGTGTCAATTGACCACTAGGAGGCGTGCTACACCAGGTAATGAACGTGCCGCCTATTCATGCTACATCACATGGTGCATACTGACCCCTTGCGGCCGTTTTCCTTCTTAACCAACCCATAAAAAGGGTTTATTTACCAACAGAGATGGACAAGGACGTTATTTAAAAAAAAATATTGCTTTAAACTTTTGCCAGAACAAAATGAAAGAATGGAACACAAAATAACAACGGGTTTTAAATGTTGCCATGTGTCTGAAATAAGCTCATTGCTATAAAAGGAATGAATGTGTAATAAGACACCATGGTTGTTATTTTGTTAATTAGAATTGTAATTAATGCGATTAATTTGCATCCACTAAATGTGGTTAATAATATTTGTTCATTCGTGAAGTGTTTTCTTTAATAATGTAGCATAGCAAAACACATTTCATGTTCAATAGTGTGTTACTAAGTTCATGCGAATACTTAAAAATGTATCACAGTTGCCAAGCATGAGTCAAACTAGCCGAGAACTGGCTTTGGTGTTTAAATGTGTGTACTACTAGCTTGACACTAGGTGGCGACATGAAACCTTAGGAAAGTCCAGCTCTTAATGGAAAGTGGACTCTGTGTTTTAAGGTATGGAATGTATTTCGTATGTATTTTCTTAATGTGCAACCAGTGATAAATTATCTTAGTAATAAAATCACATAGTTATAAAAAACGATTTCACACTGCAATGGTTAAAGGAGAGTTAGGCTATACCATTAAACCCTCCCTAAATAATGATTGTGGCCTGGATTCACTGCTGGTTTATTCATTGCTTTCTAGTGAATTGACTTGTGTGTAACCCGTGCTTCTGCAGTTTTTAATTTGCTTCTTTCTAGTGTGATTATATTGTTCTCAATTGTACTGCTTTTTAATTAATTACATAAATGTGTTGTATTTTGGAAGGATGGAAGGTTTATGTCCTTCATTCACTGAAGTTTCCGTTGGCGCAGTTACAATGTCTGTCCACTAGGTGGAATCAAGCCTAAAATTGTTACTTGGATTTCAACTCGTAAAAAAAGAACAAAAATGATATAAAAATGCATGTATTTTCTTTGTGAAAAGTTCAGGGATAAAAAGGTAGACATCTAGTTTTTTTTAACCACAGCCAGAATGTCTACTGTGATTTTAGTGTACGCTGCAAATCGCACAGTTGCAGACAAGCATTTAACTAACTTTGTCTCCAAATTTTTTTGTTTAATCAACCAAAACGTGCTACTCAGGATTGAAAGAGCCTTGTAATTATGTTCTTTCAAACAGACAAAACAGTTCTTTCTTTTTGTCTCCTCTGATGAACAAAAAGATGCATTTCTTGTTAGCTTGAAAAAATAAACATCATACTATCATGAAATATAGTCTAGGGGCACACTTTGATTTTTTCATCTTTTGAGTCTGTTGGAACATGCTAAATAGGTGTCTTCTTCTTTTTTTAAGATCTCGTGTATAATTTTGTTTGTGCCGTTTTAAAAGCATGTTTACAGTAGTTGCAAATCCCTGTTTATACAGGATCAAAGTGTATCCCATGGAGATGAATAGAATTTAAAGAGCGATGTGAAGTTCCTGAATTTCCTTCTTCCATGCATGAGAGACAACAGTAGTCTATACTATCTTCTTAGGTGATTTGAACTGGCCCAGTGCTGCTGGCGAATTTGGTTATGTGTGCCTCCAAGTAATCCCAGTGACACATTGTATTAATAAGACGAGGAACACCTGCTCAATTTAGATAAGTCTTTGAACCAAATAATTACCCATGAGGATAGCAAGCTTTCCAAGCTAAGAGTTGAAAGTGCAGGGGCAGACTGATGATAAACCAGTCCCTGTTTACTTGTCAGATGTCCTTTTAGTTAGATAAGCCATTCTTGCTGTGCTCCCTTAAAAATGAAAAGGTAATAGCTTGTGTAATGTTGTCATTTGGTTTCCTATATCAAATAGTACTTACCTGAGATTCTGTATGCACACCTCAATGCATCAACTAGATACTGCATGAAGAAGTACTGTTAAGTTAAATGCAGTCATTTAAACGTGTCTTTTTCTGAATAGTTTTGTAGCTTTATGGCAGTGGAATCTGAGTTTGGCACACTGAGATTCTAATTGTTTTCTGGTAGCTCTCAGGATTGTTCAATGGCAGTGTTATGAAGTACGAGCTGCATGAAGATCCCAAGACAAATTAGCAGAGGCTGTTGCTTTCCTGCCACGCACGATGACTGATCCCTTGCAGGAGTAGCTGGGTTCTCTCTGGAGAGAGGAAGTGGAATGTTGATGATTAGGCTAGCAAGGCTGCCTCTGAAGAAAGGGATGTTGTGAGTCCACTCTCTGCCTGCACACTCCCGGGACCTTCCTGGCTGCTAACTGTGTATCTTACACATCTTGAAAACCTTGGAAGTAGCCTCTGCCAATGAAGGATGGTGACTAGTTCGTCTAGTAGCTGCTCACACAATCAGACTGCTCATGGCTCCTGCTCTGCCCCTGGTCCCTGTGTGGGATCCAGCTGTGGCATTTCTATTGTGGTCTTTATGGAGTGTTTCCAGTGCCCGCTGCTTTAAAAGCACTGGAGTCTTAATCATGGACATTTATTCCTCAGACATGTGCAGCTTAACAAAGCCTACTCTAGTGTGGATGGACTAGAAAAGCCATTAATCCTCTGAGGTAGAAAGGTGCTGAGGTCAGTTGTATACACTTATGAGATCTTTCACCTTATTCAGTTGGATTTGCAACCTTACCAACCTCATTTTTGATCAAAATGGGGAAAATGTTACAAAGCCTCACAAACAGACTATTTGCATATTTTGTCTTGGTATGAAAGATGCACACTTTCGAAGGTGTTTTATACACTTCTTAACACAATGGGTGAAAAATGTAATATCCTTTTGTATGTGTTTATCTTTATGTAGTATTCAGTCAGTTTGTCCTTAATCTTAATTTTCAAATATTACCACTATATTACATCAGCTGCTGATTTCAGAATTTTGAGCAGAGGCGACAGCTGTGTGGCTGCAGTGTGTGCTCAGGCACCTCCAATATTTGTAATTATATTCTTAGAAACAGCGGTGAATGCATTTTTATGCATCTGCGAGATCAGGATTGGCAAGAATTGTGCCCACGATGCTAAATAAAGTTCTATCTTGTCTTGGACTCCACATTCAAAACTTATCTGACAGCTGGTTAGGTGTCATTCAGCTGAGGTGTCGTTTAACGACCTGTGATCATAAAATCATTTCAAGAAGTCACCCAAGTTTGCTCTGCAACAGCTTCCCTACCCAGGCCTTTCAGCCACAGCAGACTTGAACATTCACGTGGCTCGTCCTTAACGAGGAGAAGGGTACAGCTGTTTTCAAAAACGAAGATGCGAAAGGATGGGACTAAAGGGCGGGATCTGTATTTATTGAGAGAGGATTTGCCAGATGGGTCATGCGTTAGATTGGATTCGAAAGCACGGGAGACATGTGTCAGCCCATATCTTGGAGCAAAATAAGGACCATGTAAGATGTTTGCTAATGATAAGCTCTGTCGAGAAGAACTACGTAGATTGGAGCAAGTCTGTATCACTGCAGGTTGATGATGCTGTGAATAACTTCAGCAGGAGTGCAACACAAAAGACTGTGCTCTCCTTAATCAAGGCCCTCATTAATGATAAGAAGTGCTTTCTTACCATTAATGAAGGTAATGTGGAGGAGATCACAGCAGAAATATTCTCTGTTAATGTAAATACATTTTAAGGCAGGCAGTACGGATAATTCTGAGAAGTTGGCGCCTAAGGTTTTGGGATTCCTTTTTATCTGATGGTGCTAGGGTGGCAGAATACTTTTCTCAGTCCTCCACTGGACTCATATTAGCTAGATAACTGGTTTAATTCGTGCTGTGTCAAACAAAATTTTAGCACCAGTGGTGTTTTCAGCATTTAACTTTTTTTGCCTTTCCAATGTGTTTCAGGTCTGTCTATGATGACCAGCCAAATGCACACAAGAGGTTTATGGAGAAACTCGATGCCCGAATACGCAACCATGACCGGGAGATTGAAAAAATGTGCAATTTTCACCATCAGGGGTTTGTGGATGCTATCACAGAGCTGCTGAAAGTCAGAGCCGATGCAGAAAAACTAATGGTAAGAAATATATTTCTCCATTACATTCTTTGTATGTTACTGCCGTAATTATTCATTTGAAATTTGAATGGAACTGAATTAACTGAATTTTTTAATGAACCTATTTGTGTCATCGTGGATTTCAACCTGCTAAATAAAATAACTTGATGTAATATAGTGAACACAGTAGCTGGCAGTTGTCAGTGCACTCTAATAGTATAGTTATCAAATATAATGTAGACCAGCATAAACCTGTGAACCGTTGTTTGTCTATAGATGTTTTCTCAGTCCTTTTGCGCTAACTTACTTACTCTTCACACAGTAGCTGGAGACGTGAAGGAGTGAAAAAGCTGCAGACCAGCTGATGCACAGCCATCCTGTTCAATGGGGTTTTGTGCATCAATGTTTTTGCATTTGCTCCCAAGCAGTGGCTTGGTTTGCTCATTCTGGCCATTGATGGAAAGGGTTTAGAGCAGAAAGCCGATGAAGGGTTGTAGTATACAGAGGTCACTACAGTTCTGCTTGAGGCTTTCCCCCCAGAATTACAAATATGCAGACTTCAGAGCTCAGCATACCTTTCATGCTGGGGTGGGGGCACATTGTGCCCCTGTCTTTCTTCAGGCTCGCCTCTTAATCCCATTGCTTAATACCCTAAGCAAAGAATCCCCTTAGCAGAAGCAGTATCACATTATACTCCTCTCGAGTGTGTGTCCAGCCATCCCTTGAGCTCTGTGTGACCCTGGTTTAAAGAGAAGATGAGCCGATTGAGAAACCCTCCGTATTAGCATTTATATTGCAGAGTGAGGTGCTCACAAATGCTGCAAGCACAGGCTTAGTCACCTACATGAATAAAAATGGCTCTCCGGCACAAGCATGTCCAGGCAGTCTTTCATAATGTTCGCTGTAAGTGAGAGTGCGCTGGGTCTCTGCAATCACCAGGTCTGATTGCAGTCACCGTTTCAAAGGCTGTGTGGGAGCTGTTGGCCTAACTTCAGAGCGATATTAAGGCACTGATTATATTCATCCACCAAACCCAATAACCACTAAGGAAATCTGTTTCAATACCTGAGGAGTACGTGAGAAGACCCAGATATGACTTATTATTAGTGCAAACCATGGAAGTGCTGTTAAAGTTGAGGTGGATGTTTTACTGAAGTCATGGAGTTTAATATGGAGTCGGAGGCCAATTCTCTTTAGCTCCCTTTACACTTCTGAAAGTAAAATATGTGCATCAAATGCTGCAGGAGTAGTTCACCCAAGGTTGTAATTAGACAAGCATTATATAAAGGATATTCAGATAACAAGGGACCAAATACGGCATCAATGAGGTCACTGAGCATCTTTGTTTAAAAATTAATGAGATTTTTAATAAACCAAAATGTGCTGCCTTATTATGATGACCTAATGAGTCACTTAATATGTGGGAAAGTCTGAGGTCGCGCTGCCCTGCACCTGCAGCATTAAAATGCTGCTGTGTTTTTGAGGTTTCCACATTTGATGTGAATCAACCACCCAGTGTTTGGATTCAGCAAAAACGAATGTTTAATTACCAGAAAATGCAATCGGCATTTTGTTCTAGACAAAGAATGGCATATAGAGCTCATTGAGGTTATCAAGAAGGGACCAGTGGTCAATTGGGTCAATGATTTGAATTGTTTGACAGACCTAGAGGAACAAGTAAAGTTCAAAAATCCCAAGTAAAATTGAGAAGTTTGTCACAGAATCTGTTAGAAAGAACTGTCATAAGTGATTAAAGTGTATAAAAGACCTCTGCGATCAAAAGTTCAAGTTCCCGCTGCAGATTTAATTTGAATTTGCATTTCTTTGTTCTTGACCCCTCATGAAGCATGATCTGATTACAAGGGTGAGCAGTTACAACAGGGAATTATGTGCTTATTTGTCTAACAAAAGTGATATTATTTTTAAGGGCCAAGTTACCGATACCAATCGAAGACTTCAGGATGCAGGAAAAGAGGTGAATACAGCACCCACTTGTTTTCTGGGATTGTTTTATTTCATTTGAGAAAAGTGACAACACAGCTTGTTCGTTAAATCTGGTGGTTTAAACTCTTTGACCTCTCTAATGTAAGGTGACAGTGCAGACGGAGGAAGTGATTCGATGCAGAGTACAGCAGAGGAATATTGCCACCACTGTTGAGAAGCTCCAGTTGTGCATTCCTGGTGAGAACAAAAAAAAACTTTTTTTTTTAATAGTGCAAAAAAGAAAGAATTGTGTACATTTAACAAAAGTAAGTGAAAGATGATGCACAACTTCCATTGAGCACACTCAGTATATTCTTCATATACTTTTGTCCATTTTAAAAATACACTAAAAAAATACCAGAGGTTGTTAAATATTGAAAACAAAATGTACATAAATATCCCAGATTCTCCTGTCTGCCTCTTACTGCTGTTTAGCTCTTTTAAGCATGGTGTCCTGACACAATCACATTTCACTTTCTTATCAAACTGAATATGGCTCAGTTTTTAAATAAAATAGTATATGTTTTTTTTAACTTGGACTTTTTAAGTGAGCTTAAATTTGATCATTTCTATGATCTGTTGGGGTCCCTGAAACAGAATCAGCCCAACTATTGCTTATTTTTCAATCCTCTTCAGGAGAAGGTTGTGACATGTGGACAAAGTTTGGTTAATTATTTTATTTTATCTCTTTGTAGTTCTGGAGATGTACAGCAAGTTGAAAGAACAATTGGATTCTAAAAGGTGATTAAAATTTCTCTTTAACACCCTGTTTTGTGAGCTGAATCTTGTACACATTAGCCTGTCTCTTGCAACTTCTGAAAATACTGGACAGTTTCCTGAAATTCTTTTCTGAAAGGAAAGGACATTGCTGTTGTACAGCAGAGCAAAGTAGTTCATGTGGTTTCCTCTGGTACACACCCTTTTATAAATCAGTACTCTTCAAGATAGCACAGTAAAGGAGAATTTGTTTTTTGTTGATTTACTACGTTAAATTATTAAATTAAAAATTGGTTTACAATAATATAAAAATTAAAACAAATGACCAAAAATACCCCTAAAAGCCTTAAAAATAATGGCTTTTGTAATGCACAGTTACTGAGAAAAACATGTCCCTTATTGAGTACAATCAGAATGAGAATCTAACAACCCTTCTTCCTTCATTAATGTCTTCTTAATCAATCATAACACATTATAAATAAATTTACTGTTCGAACAGCAAGACAATTGACCTTGTGTGTGCCCTTCTTCACAGGACTTTGGTACACCAGAGAGCTGTCACAAGCTTTATCCAAATTGAGGCAATTAAATGAACACATTTCTCTATTAATCTGTGCGTCACTGATGTGCACTAATGACTCTGCCTGGACGTGGTCTTATTCAATTTCTGTATCTTTAAAATTGATGGTCAAATATATACTGATATTTATAATTTAAGAAGTAAAAGATGTTGTTATAGATAAAATGTTATCTTTGTCAGTGTTGTGTTTGAGAGAGTGTCTGGAAAATCACACTTAAGAGAAAGTACAGAACTGAGAAAAAGTATATAGAAGATTGATGTGGCACTTTGGTAGAACTATTGAGAATAATGCTGTTCTGTGTAATTCTGGAAAGTTAAATTTTTTTGTTTCTTTGCTGTTAGAGATTCAAGACCATTTGTGGCCTACTTATTTTTCTTACAATCAATACAAAAGAATAGGGTTACTTAAAATAAATAATTGCAACTTATAATATTTCCTTTGCAAAAGATTAAGAAAGGATATTTGCAAAAAACATTTTGATGCTTGTGTGGCATTATATTGATTTTGACATTAGGACTCAACAGTAAAGCTGAGGTCTTCCTAGTATGTTGCTCAGGATCAGTGTTGTAACCAAACTGGAATACTTTTCAGTTTTCTCACTGGTCCTAAATGGGTTAAATAAAATAAATGATTTTAAATAAAAAAGTGTATGAACAAGTTGATCAAGTCCAACTCGTATTTCTCACTCCCCTTCAGAAAGCCGCATTAGTGATCTTTATCCAGCCACAAGAATGAGTACAGACTGTAGTGCTTTGCAGTTTATGAAAGCTGTCCCAAATGATCAGTTTGCTTTAAAATTTGACTGACTCTAAAAAAAGTGACAGCATAGGTGGACCCAGCCCTTATAAAAAAATAAGGAGGAGTCTGTACTGTTCTTAGCCTTGACTGTCCAAATAGCAGGAATCTTTGGTTTTCATTACCCAAAAAAAAGCTTGATGTAGAAATCCGGAATTGTTTTCACTTGTACTATTCAGAGCTGTACTGTACTTTTGAACTCTGGAAACGCCTTTAGCTTTGTGAATATAATCTTAGGATTTAGCTGTCTGTGACTAGCAAGGCGAGGGGCCCTCTTCACCTGTCTGGCAGGATCATTGCAGGTTTTAAATTTGGAGATCTTGTGCGTTTTGTTTGAAGTTTGGATTTACTGATATCCATAGTAAAAGAGTGGTTTCCTGAGGAAGTTCCTAATTTATGAAAAATGCTTTTTTTTTAAATTTCATTCCAGTTTGAGATTTAAGTTATAAAAAAGGTTATTCTACTGGTTAGGCATATTGGTGAAATATGCATGTGTGAGAAGAGTAGGGGAGGAAGGGAAATGATTCCTTTTTATTTGTGTTGCTTTAGATCAGAATCACATAAACTCATATAACAGCTCTCTGGAGGTCAAGAGCTTCTTTTTTTTCTCTTAGCAGTTAGCAGTAGAAAAACATTCTTGTAAATCACAATTAAAACACTCATCTGGATGAATTTATGCTGGTTTGTACAGACCTTTACTCCCAATAATATGAATTTTCATTTCTTCTGCCAATTCACCGAAAAAAATGTTTTGTGGATATGTGGAAGCTACAGCTAGAGATCTCAGAAGTAAAGCAAATTATTGATCCTCTTTCAAAAACCTCTGTTTTTCTCTTCATGAACTGCTCATATCCGGTGCATTGAACAGGTCAGGAAATTAATGCTTTTTGTATCGTGGCATATTGATATTCACACATGTATTTGCAACATTTGAGGGAGTATCTATGAGCTCTACCACTGATTTATAATTGTATTTCGACTTCAAACACTTTATGCCATTCATTGAGTTTATAAATTTGTATTTGTTAACAATATTTGTTACAAGCAGCCTTTTTATTGGATTAATCCGATTACATGGAATTCAAAAGCACAAGAAAGCATATTGAATATGGCATAAAATGGTATGCAAACATTATGCAGTTTAAATCCTGACCCGCCACTGACCTTCAAATTTAAAAGGCCTCGATGTTTTATCAGAACAGATGTTAAAAGGGCAAGGTCTTGAGCTGAAGATGTCTGTAATTAGTACGGGACTCTAAAATTGGAATTGAAATGGATTATATTAATGCTGGTCTCAGAAACAGTCGAAACCCTCCAGATGAACTATCTGTATAATTTGAATAAAAGCTTATGATATAACGTTGATGCTGTTATGGATTTATCCTCTATGAAGCGCAATCAAGGGGTACACTGTGGGCTTTGCTCTTTTGTGCAGAGTGATAAGGGCATAACCTATCTGAAGAACCATGCTGCACTGGTATTATAAAAAAAACAACTAGAAACTCCAGAGTTTGCACCGTCAAAACCTTTGAGTTCCCTGCTTGTGCCTGAAAATATGTATTATTTGGGTTCCCTTGTGGCCTTTTTTAAAAAAAGGAACTGTCCTCCAATTCTTTTTCCTCAGAAGATGTCAGCTCTTGTGTTTCACATCTCATGTAGTGATTGCTGAAAACTCATGTTTTTGAAATGGAGAGCTGAAAAGGCACAGCTATATACATATACAGTTCCACCTGCCCTTTGTAGTAATATGTAAACAAGAAATAAATATTTTAAAAGCTGAAAAGGTCTGCTTCTTAATTTAACCCCAACGTTAGTGTTTGTACGTGGATGAAATATGAGAATGCACAATAGTGGTTATTTATGTGTACAGTGAGCAGTTTTGGAATTGTGTGAAGGGAAATACTCCCACTACCTACAGGCTTTGGTGCATGCTAGCCAGGGCAATTTTAAATGCATGAACTGATGGTAACTTTTATGTAGTAATGCTTAAAATAAGTGCCTTCATATCAAAGTCTTAAGTTCTCCTTTGGTTATCTGTCTTGTTTCAATTGATTTTTTTTCTGAAGATTAAGAATATGGTTTTCCATATCTTATTGAAGCGTGATAATTTAATTTCCTAGATTATTTTCTATTAATTCTAAAAAGGGTTGTATTTATGTTTCAGATACTATGCTGCATTGAAAACAATGGAACATCTTGAAAATATTTACATTCCTCGGGTCAGTCAGTATCGTTTCTGCCAGATAATGGCTGAAACACTTCCCAAATTGCGTGAAGAAATTAAAGAAATTTCTATGTCTGACTTGAAAGATTTCCTGGAAAGTATCCGGAAGCATTCCGATAAAATCGGGGAAACAGCAATGAAACAGGTGAGGTTTTACATGAGATTAGAGCATTGAGTCCCATGTATTGCCTTTCCAAAGAATTCTAAATTATTTAGCATTCTAGGCTGAATACTAAATGACTATGCCTGATTTTTAATTTACTTTCTATTTAGTATTGTCAGTTCCTATTGCTTTATTATTTGAAGCCCACTCTATAATGATTTTTTGAAAAGTCAGTGTGCATGGACTGATTTTTTTGGACTATGGTAAGTTTTATAAACAGTAAAATAATAATATTTTTAATTAGTAACACTTAAATGTCATCTCCTGCTTTTTCATCCCATGATCCTAATCGACATGTATAGTACCGTGAAATGCGAAATGCGATTGAAAGTTACTGTAGGGGCTCAATCTGCCCCTATCTCAGCCTAACATAACATTTTGGTGGTTCACCCATGCTCTCTGTGTCCTGGTGACATGAATCATTTCCAGCCAGCAGGAGTTAAAACAGTTCACAAGAGTTGTCTGCCAACCAAGAACGGAAGCAAGGTGTGACCGGGACTCACAGAGGAACAGCTCAGTGGCGTGACTCACCTTAGATACTACATGGTGTGCCTTGCTAGCCAGGAGAACTATTCAAGGCAGAGAGTGTCATTTTCTAGATCCGGTACTGACTTTGTGTTCTGTAACCGCAATGTTAGGCGCAGCAGCACAGAACCTTCAACAGTGCTGTCCAGAAGCAGGCCAGCGCAGGGTACGGAAAGCCCCTTTACATGCTGAATGGCAAAGGATCCAGCCAGAAGAATGGGATCCCCTCAGAAGAAGGGGCAGAGGAGGAGGAGGAGGACACTGATGAAGAGGTAGTTGTCTTTTACTTTTTGTCTCTTCAAACCCAGAAACCCTCCTCATTCCTCCATACCTTTTATGATTTTCCATTACTGAGGAGATTCACGGAGTGTTCTGGTGTCATAGTTGTTTCAGTAACTTTTCCCAAACCATCCATCTATATCCCTACTGATCATCCATAGTTTCAAAATCATTTATGGAATTATGGAGATTATTGTGCAGTATTTATTTTATCCTACGACACTTTTCATTCAAAATATGTGCGTTCTGTTTTAGTCCTGTCGTGTATATTTTTGTAGATTTTGTTTATTTATTAATTTTGTCATGTTGACTTTTGGTATTTAAAGGTACCTTCTACTTTTTAACTGAGACCACTGTCCCTTGTACTTTAATATCTCTGTGCTTTTATGTTTATTTTACAGGTTTTGACTGCACAGGATCTTGTAGATTTCTCACCTGTGTATAGATGCCTTCATATTTACACAGTTTTGGTGAGTGTTTTGTTTGTACAACTGGCTCTATTAATTTATAGGATCACAATAAAAGGATAGTATTTTGACCCAATTATGAGAGACATGAGAAAAAATACATACAAGAATGTCATTTATGTGATTCCAGTGTAATTTAATGTGGTCTTTTGGAAGATGTGTGAAACTTCTATATTGCCTGGTTGTTGGATATATTGTTCATTGACTGTTTTCTTTAGTGGGAATCTTTAGTGGTTCCCAAACTCTACAGAACTGTATACAGAAAGTGTTCAACATACAGAAGTGTTTAGTTTGGAAACTTGTTTCAAAGTCAGATTTGACTTGAGTTTCATTTAACTCTTAAACCATAATGTTGAAGTAGTGTGTTTCTGTGCTGTTCTTTGCAGTGTCAAATAATAAATACACTCTATTCTGCAATGAAGTGGGAAAAATCACCCACAAATTAGATTATAGAAAAAACAGAAACACATGGAAATGGCACTGTGTGGCTGTATATGCTTCTGATTTATGTATTATGTATCCACAAAAATACCACAATATTGCATAAATATGAAAATTTGTTTTGCAAGGATGAATTTGCATAATCCAAGGGTTGCACAACCCAGGGAGTGCTAATATCTTTAGTACCACGCTCCTTATTTTACTTATTAAGGAAAATAGAAGTGTAACACACTCAAAGATTTCGTAGCAATTCAGCACTATGTATTCATATGTATATAACATGTTTGAAAACATTTACTATTTATAATAAGATCTATACATGTTAAATTTTCAATTTACTCTTTGGATGATTGGTTGGGATCACTTCAATATGAGATGGGGAAGAAAAGTCCTGCAAATCTTGTTCCATGACATCATTTAGATCATTTAGCTTTTAATAGATGCCATTGCTGAGAAATCTGACTCCCACAGATAGAGAAAAACGTAATCAACAATGTTCTGCCCTGTCAAAATGGAAGGGTTCTCCTACCTTCTCCGAAGACAGAAGTCACTGAGATAGATTTTATTGAATACTACTTGAATTTCTCCAGACAGACAGGCAGGGTATTGACAACCAGTGAAAAGGGAGTTCTGATCCACCCTTCATAAATGATCTGATCTGCAAAATAGTCAGTGAAATGTGAGATCACACCAGGCACATGCTCTTTAATGTTAACGATCGGGTTTGACTGAAGCCGTTGTTTGTTTTCCATCAGAAAATCGTCCAGCAATGAGAATGCTTGGAAATTGTTTCGATTTACGTCTGCTAACTGAGGATTTCTCACAAATGCTCTCTTTTTGTTGGTAACTTAAAACCTAAGCCTCATAGACCAGCATTCAGGTTGTTGAGCCATACAGAAAAACCAGTTATCTAGCCACTTCTCCATTTTGAGTTTAAACGTTTTGTGAACCGACATTTCAATATTAGTTCGGAAACCATGTTTCACTTTCTTGAGACGAAAATACAATCTTAAGAAGATGAACCTGCCCAGTGTTTTAGGTTTAAAACAAATCTATTCTTTGGTGGCGCTACTGTCTTTAGCCCACCCCAACTTTTTAATTACGTTAATTTGTTCCAGTCACGCAAAGTGTGTGATTTAAGACAACCACTAGATGGTGCCAAAAACACCTTAGGCGGGAGGTAAGAATGAAGTACTGTATATATACCGGCAGACAAATGTGTTTACAATATAAATGCGCAGACAAGAACAGTCCAAACACATCCTGTGATTAAAATTAATGAGTTTGCTTGTACCGCTGACAAATCGTCTGCGTACAACTGATGGTGCGATCACCACTATTTGGAAACCGCTACATGATTTCATTGAAGGTCATTAGATTATATAAGAGTCGGCTTTCCATTGTTTACCCTAGACTTTACTTTGCTATTATTTTTGTGAAATATTGAATTAAATAACTGGAGACCCGAGTGAGTTTTCGACTGCTAAGCCTGTTATCTCATGTGCACTAATCCCATGTTCTTAAAGATTCTGAACACTGGGTTGTCTAATAGGTTTGACCCAGCAATAACCTCTCTCAATAAAAACAAAACATAAAAATGCTAAGCTGCTGTATTCATCTTGCACACAAATTGTGTTGCATTCACCAGGCGGAGGACGAGTCGCTGGTGCGCTGGAAAGTTGAGGCGAGCAGATGGTTTCCCCTGAATGGCTCTGTTAATGAGAACACAGGGATGTCACCAGAGCTGCTCACAATATAAAAAGCAGGCAGGGTGCTAGTCCTTATCAGCACAGTCCCAATGACTTTAATAAGAGGCCATGGCATCTTTCAGCACTTCATTAACTAAAAACCATCAATGTGGGGACTAATGAGCTTTTTAGTCTCCTGTTTCTTTAATCAACTCTCACTAATGGTGTCAAACATATAAAAATATGCTTATTGATTTATTGAATATTTACCAGTTTTGCCATTTTTTACACTTTTGCGTTATTTATGTGTTTAATTTACTTTCTACGCCAGCATACACCGCAGCAGGGTTGACAGCAGCCATTCAGACTCTTTTGAGGTTGAACCCATTAGGTCAGTCTGGCGGTTAATTTAACGCAGTGGTTTGACCCCAGCAGTCCGCAGAGGCTGAGCCAGTGGTGTGGCTTTTCAGCCCCACGGGGTTGATGGGAAAACGGCAGGACCACATGTGGGCTGGGAGGGCCGTGACTTGACGTGCCCCTCTTTTCCACATGGGGATCACTCACTGCGGAATATCATCTCATTGTTGAGGGAGTGGGTGAAGGGAACAAGAAGATATCATTACAATGGACACCAGTATAGCGCCTGGTTTATAAATCCTGCACTTCTTTTATTCCTTTAAGCATCTTCCAAATGAATGGGATATTTTTTATCCTGTGTTCTTTTTAAATTAAAACAATTAATAAAACTTGACCCAAGTTTATTACTGGTGTTACAGTAATAAACTTAAAATAATACATTCCTGTTGCCTTGGGGCGTTGTTATTCTTGGATCTGGTTCTGATTGTTTGATGACTTGAAACACATATGTGCAGGCAAAGCTATATGATACGGTGAGTGTTTAGGGGAGCAATTTAAAATGCAGGATGCAGCCTCTGAACTCCATTAGAATTTATGAAGTTCTGACACAATTTCAGCACAAAAAGCCTTCCTGAGGACCTTTTGTGCCAAAATGCTGACGGATTTTAATACATTCTGATGGAGCTAAGCATGTGCCCCTCTTTTTAATTGTTTCTGATCAACTTCTTCCGAACAGCCCCTCATTAACTTTGTGCGTACATTTTCTTTTCTGAATCTGTGAAGAGTTTATACCATTCATTACATGGTTACATTTCCCAGCAATAGCAAGAAAATATCAAGTGCTGGATATGTCACATTCTATTTTGTAGCTGTGCCTATTTGTTTGGTGATAGTTTTGGGGTTCATATGAGTTTGATTTCTGGATCTTTTCAGAATCACTAAAGTATAACTTTTCAGAAGTAATGGTTTGGAAGTGATCACGCAACTGGCATTGGAGTATTTTTATTATATTTCTGACAGTACTGGAAACTCAAATCATTACTAGCACCCTGCACAAACAATTTCCTTTAAACTTCTGAGTTGGAATTGACTTAATCAATCAGTTGCCACAGGCAATAAACTAGCAGTTTGAGTCACTGTTTTTCTTAAAATGTTTAGATAAGAAATTATGATGGCATACCACCAACAGTAAAAAAACAAATATTGACATTGTTATATTTTCATCTTGCCACTCATCTTTTATACTTTCAAGAATGCATTTTCAGTTGAGAATTGTTTTTAAGTTAAATGCTGTTTTTTTTGTGTTTTTGCATTATAGGGTGACAGAGAGACCTTTGAGAATTACTACAGAAAACAGAGGAGAAAACAAGCAAGGCTGGTCTTACAGCCACAGTCCAACATGGTAAGCCAGAATTTCACAGCAAATCGAAATTGTGATAAGTTTTTGTATCAGGAATCTAACACCTTGGTGTTTTGTATTTTTCAGCATGAAACCGTAGAAGGATACAGGAAATATTTTAATCAGATTGTGGGGTAAAGAGCTTTTCTTTTAATATTAAGCATAGGCTTTGGCTTAATAAGCCGCCATAACTACAATGCACTGATGTTTTTCTCTGACGAGATGAGGGAAGTATTGACTTCTTGTAAATGTTTATTTTAGATTTTTTGTGGTGGAGGATCACATATTGCACGCAACACAGGGGCTGGTCACCAGAGCCTATACCGATGAACTTTGGAACATGGCGCTCTCCAAAATCATTGCTGTGCTGAGAACCCACTCGGTAAGTGACGGAAGCTTGTGCATCTTTCCATTTCTGCTCAAAGGATCTGCAAGGGGGAGGAAAAGATCAGTGTGTTTTCTAGAGTGGGTTTGTGTCAAAATGAACAATTACACCTCCACCACTGTGGCTTTTTGTAATTAAAAGTTAGTTAGACCTGGAGCATGGCCTGCCAGGCCTTTGTTTTTCCCAGTGGTTTCAGGCTGTGAGCCACAGCCATGAAGTATTTGCATAATCCTCCAGTGATTTACAACTGACTGGGCCCTCCAAACATGCTCTTAGTCCAGCAGTTTAGAATATTCAGAGTTAATCTGCTGTTATTGTTGCAATCTGTCCTCATTAGTCTCAACTGACCTCTTCATTAGATCAGATTGAATAGTTCAGCATTGAAAGCACCACCAGGAAATAGTTCCTAATTATCATTCCAAATGCCTTGTTTCCAAAATAAACTCCACCAAAAAAAAGCCTCCTTTTCTCTCCTCCCTTCAAGACCAAAAGAATGTATTTGCAACACAGTAGCATCACTTCAACCAAAAGTCTTGTTGAGTTCCCTGTAAAAACACAGAGCAGATTCATAATGGTATTGTGACAAGAGGTAAGGTACCAAGTGAACTTGATATTTTTGGGTTTGGTATATAAGATGTTAAACATATTCTTTCACATTGATTGAAATCTGTTTAAAGAATTTGGTTTTCTAGAAGCAGGCTCAGGATAATTGTACCTGTTTTGTATAAATGAGATAGGTTTTAAATGTATGTATTTAATTATAATACAGGTAGAGGACACTTTGCCTTTGGCAAGTATGCCTGTAATGTCTAGTTTTGTATGAAAATTGTGCAGTATTGGGAATGTATTAAAATAATCAGTCTATTAAAAAGTCAAGTTGTATTCTTCGTACTTAATGACTGCTGTGCAGCTTTTGCTCATTGGGCATGTTCGGCAAGTAGACGAATGTTTGTCAAAACACTTGTTGGCAGACACAGGAGATTTGTCTTTTGCATTTTCCTTGTGAAGGAGATGTGCAGGTTTCTGTAGAGGTGGATAATTTTAAAGCTTTTGTGCATCTTGTTGCACTGTAAAAGCTGTATTTGGACAGTTTAGAGCAGAGGACACAAGGCATAAGGATTCAGGACCACAGCCATTTCCGAGGGAGTGTGAAATGCTTTGTGTGATGAATCCATAAACAGTGGGAGTTATTGCTCCAAGCAGTGTGGTCTGAGACATGGGATGATGCTGCGTGTCTCAACCTAGGTCTTGGTCATTCATGGTGATGATTTACGGACTCTCCGAGGTTGCCTGTCTGACAGGTAGGGGGCAAAGAGGCAACTCTGGGGTCTTGTGTAAATGTTTGGCTTGAGAGCTTTTCAGGTTTTAGAGCTGTAAATCAAGTCTGAAAGGCTGAGCAAAAAAAAAAAGATTTTTCTGAATTAGAAGGACAACTTTTTTTTACCAAAAAAGAGTTATGGAATTCTACCAAGACATGTATAGTTCTTCAATTTTAATTTATCCCATTGTGTGGTGAGGACACTGGGTTTCGAAGAGTTATCTCCAAATGCATGATTGCAGTTTATTGTGGGTGACAGTGGTACAAGTAAAACACATGTCCACCACTCTGCACTAGCCATTGTTTTGTGCAGTAAACAGTAGTCATGACCAGACCTCTGCAAATGTCAGGGGAGGCGGAGGTGATGATAGCCCCAGTGTTTGTGTGTGAGGACTGTGTCCCCCGAAGCAATAGTCTTTCATACAGCCCGCTAGACAGGAGGAAGGTAGAGCACAAACCATGTGGAGCTCTTCATCAGGCCCATCTGTCGGCACCTGAGAGCTGGGTCATTATTTCACTTGGTTCCTTAACTGCAGAAGTGATGTTCCATCGCCCAGATTCTTTCGTCCAGCTTGGCTTCGCATGCTTGTATAGGTTAAAAAGACATACAAGGTATTTGTTTCTGGTGGTACCGTTATTAATTTGAGCTTATTGGGAAAATGATTTAATAGAGAAACAGTGCATTGATTATATTTTTAAAATGCACTGAATACATTTTAAGTTTCATTTTGATTTTTTTTTTCAAATAACTGCTTTGGCAGGCCCCCACATTGTCAATGTGAATGAAACTTTGTCAAAAGTGTAAGCTTTAACAGTGTGTGGTTTGATTTAATCAAATTTCTGTGGTCGATTTTGATTGCCTGTTATGTTCCCTGCAGTCCTATTGCAATGACCCCGACCTTGTCTTAGAGCTGAAGAATTTAATTGTCATATTTGCAGATACTTTGCAGGTTAGTACAAATCTCTTTTTGAAAAGGTTCATGTGAAATCGGAACAAGAAATGAGTTTTTTAAATTGTACTGAAATCTGTATACAAACTTGAAAATTATGTTGTGAAGTGATTTTGATTTAAAGGCTTTTGCAAGTCTTTGGGTTGTGGTTTCTCAATCAATCTTGACATTGCTGAACAATGTCATGTGCAATGAAATGCATGTATTTTATGATTTTTGACGACTATTACACTGAGAAAAATCAGGTGCACAAACTTATTTTTCTGGCCTTGGCTGTTGTGAATGTGAGATCACACAGCAAGCAGCAAGCCTGCCATCAACACATGCACCTGTATTTTCACAGGTCTTGTCCTGTTCCCAGTGTTAATAAGACTTTTGAATTACAGAAAACAAATGGGCTTTTATAAGGTATTCGCCTGCATGCAGTGATTTGCTTTGCAAGTCACTTGCAGTATAATCTTTCTCATTCCATGTCACCTTGTTTTATAACCACGTTTGTGTGTAATGCACTATGTCGAGTATTATTTTGTGAAAAACATTTTTAATTCCTATCCTGTTTGCAGGGCTACGGGTTTCCTGTGAGCAGGCTGTTCGACCTTCTGTTTGAAATACGGGATCAATATAATGAGACCTTACTGAAGAAATGGGCAGCTGTGTTCAGGTTAGTCAGCACATAGTGCGCTAAAACGATGCGTAAATCTGTTAAGATCTAAGAATCTGCAAGTGATACATTTTGGGTCTGTATTTGCAATATATGTGCATGATGAGCAGTTGAAATAAAGCAGAGCTTTGAGCGTTCCCTTAGGTGATTTTCAAAGCGTGTTTTGATGTGAGATTTGCTTTCAGATTCATCACAGGGTCCATTTGAGGACAAAGGGGCCTGTTCTGTTCTTTTTTTCCATTCTTCCTTTACCCCAACACCCCCCCCACATCACCACCACCACCACCCGTCCCCCATCAATTTCGTCCCACCTTTCGCCATTCGTGGGGAACCCCCGCCAGGCGTGGTGTTAGACTTCAGTACAACACGGAATTCCGGGGTACCATATGAAGAGCCCTGCACAGGACACCAGCAGAGTTTTAGTGTTAAGCAGACCGTGTTACTAGGGCTACGTGACCCCAGACCTGGCCAGTTTAAGTATTAATGCTGAAATCGGCGGCGCGGAACGGTCCACAAAGATTCTAATTGACAGGCGACGTTTTTTTTTTGTGCACATGTCCAGCTGAGACTTCTTGCAGGCTTTCTTATTACAAGGCTCTGTGTGTCGTATGACCTATTATGTGCTTCACCCCAGCTGTGCACGCATCTCGGGCGCTTAAGGCGCATACCCGCCAGAGATTTTTTCCATTTAACACATACTGAACAAAGCCAAATAAAAACGGTATTAAAAGGGATTTAGAGCACTCACGTCGAACTTATATTGCACTCACATGCGACACAAAATAAGTCGCATTTTTCTGATGGCTAAATTCTAACCGTTAATGCTTCTATGTCTGCCTAGGATGGCTCTGTGGCTTTATGGTTTTCAAACTTAATATTTATAAGAATCATCAAATTGCTTCACTTTCAAAACCCTAAACTCATTTTCAAAAAATAAATGAACTCATGTAATGGAAAGATAAGGCTGCATCTATTTACAGGGAAATATTTGAACAGGACAACTATAGCCCAATCCCTGTAGAAAACGAAGAAGAATACAGAACCGTGACTAGCAAGTTTCCGTTCCATGATGCAGAAATCGAAAAGGTATGTAAAATGCTCTTTGCCTTTAAGATTGCCCTGCTAGATTACAGTTCATACTTGCTGGTTATATTTTAAACGTTAAAACACTGCAGAAAGATTCAAAGTGTAAAGAAAACAATACGGAGTCTAGAAACTTAAAAGAATTTTCACAAACACCGAAGCGAAAGCTATGCATAAGTATGGTTATTCGAAACGTATTATTTGTTATTATTATTAAGCCTAGAAAATGCTGTATTTTTATTTGCTGTTTTTATTAAATACTTTCTAATTGATTTTAGCTGCACTGTAGTTAACAGTATTGGTGTTAGATTTACTGTACTTTACTAAATCACACCTTCATGGTTTCTATCTTTTTTTCTAACAGCAACAGTTTCCAAAGAAGCTTCCCATGTCTCAGTCAGTGCCTCAAATCTACATTCAGGTGAAAGAATTCATTTATGCGAGCCTGAAGTTTTCAGAGTCCCTGCATCGCAGGTAAAAACAAAGTGATTACATTTTTATATTAATATAAGGTGATAAATATTTGTGTTTAAAAAAACATAACATTTTAACTTATAATCTATAATAAAATTGTCTGGTGTAAAGTGGCAGACATACTGCCATATAATATATTGTTTTCCAGTGTATCGCTCCATAAACAAAAAAAAAAAATCATGAAATAATCAAGAGATTTCCTGTAGTTGTCATTTATTTACAAAAACCAGGTGACTGATGGATATTCAACTCTACTAATGGAAACTTATGTTAGAATATTAATAATAAGATAATTACCATATTAATATTAACGTGTAAATGAAAATTGGGAAAGAAGCCACTAAATCAAATTATATAAAATCTATTTTTCCATCTAATTTGTATATGTTCTTTGGTGAAATATAGAAAGTCCTTCAATCCCAGAGCACAGTATTATTCGGCTGACTCCAAGATAAGCAGAGTCTATGATCATAAAATGAGATGTGAACGGTGAAGACTTTTAGACAATGCTACGAAATCTGTTGTTTGACCTCTTCAGGGTGCAGTGCTGTACATGTGATTTCGTAATATATTCTGAGAAACTCCTGGCATTTTATAGAAAGGTTGTTGGCAGTGCAAAGCTTCCCAATTACTCTGAGCTGATTTTGTTTTCACAGAAGAAGCAGGTGATAGCAAGGGCTTGGATATTCTTTCTTTAGCATGTCTTGTCTTGTCACTTTTAGGAGCAGTAGAATCCTATTCAAGTCCCAGACAATGGATTATTAAAAAGTCATTGGAAGTCTGTATGTTTCAAACTGCGTTGTTTGAAGCTGTCGAAACCAAAGTCTTGGAAGGAATGACGCTACATGCTGTTGTGAATGCTGTGGGAAAATATGTGAAATCTCTTATAGACCGATAGAAACTTCAGTAAAACATTACCAACTTTTGGACAATATAATTTTTTGAAAAGCAAATGCTAATAGCTACCAATTTAGAGTAGGTCTAAAACATATTTTCTCCAGCTGTAGATTTCAAAGGAACAGGCTGTTTTGTTACAGTAAGTAAAACTACCAATAAGCAATTCAGGCACAAGACTGAACACATCTGATTTATCATTTGCTCGTAGGGTTTTTTTTTTTGTAGGTGACATTGAGCTGCCTTTTAAAAAGTGTAATGCCTATTCTTTTGTAGTTCAGTACAGGATTAGTGTGTCCATATTGTGTTCTTTTCCTGCTGCCCCCTTCAAATGATCATGGGTTTTTGGGCCCATCATTCCTCATGCTGTCCAGTGATCCCTGTAACCCAGTGTGGCCATCTTCTAAAACACCTGGGAGCAGCTGCCAAAACGTCTGGAATGATGCTGGACAGCAAGAGCCAACCAGGCCTTTGTCTGGGTTTACTTGGTTCTTCTACTCTCCATACCTCCCAGACCTTTTTAATGCGTCTGTGTTGTTATTGCTATTGGCCAGTAAAGGTAGCTGTGCACTTACAGAATAGGTCTGTGTCTTTACTGTCTGTACTTCAGTCTATCAGAGCAGCAGAATTTCAGATTATCCTTACTAATTGGTTTGGGACACCAGATATATATGGCAATGAAAACATCCTGTTGGGATACGAGTGTGCCCGTTTTGAAAAACCCTCCAAATGTAACAGTCATTATAGGGATCGAGTTGTGTTATTCTTGTTAAAGTGAAATTCTCCGTGGATTTTCAATAATCAGTACCTGATCTGTTGTATAGTGGGGATCAATACTGTAAAGGGTGGCCTTCAAGGAAAAACGGTTTCTGCTGCAAGTAGCGTAGGTGGACCAGTAGGTTTATACTCTTTCCTCTGGGCCAGAGTTTTCAAACCAGTGCCCCAGTACTAAACCTTGGGACATGATGAAGGAGGCGGCATCCTTCAGATGAAACATTAAACCCGAGTTGCTCACTACTTGGCCCTTAAGGATCCCATTGCAATTACTTTCGAGAGTGGGGTTGTAAACCCTGGTGACCTGGCTGAATTCCACTCACGCCTTGTACAGCATACCCTACCCCAATGTACCTCCTTAACACTGAGGCAGCGTCTCACCCTTGCTAACGATCTGTGCGTAGTCTGCTGGGATGGGAAGGCTGCCCTGCGTACCCCTGGTGTAAAGTAAAGATTTAAAGTCCTGCGAGAAAACATGGGGTGAGAAAACACTGTATATGTGAATTGATTAATCATCGCACACTTTTAATTACGTTTATAGATACAGCTGTATATGTTTTTGTACAGACCAAAAATGTTTACAGTTTACATAATAAACATTTATAAAATTAGATTTAAAAAAGTTTATATTTTGTCTTGCTTATATTTGGAATACACTATTGTTTTTAGAGGCTTATTTAAACTGATTGGCCTTTTATTGACTCCTGTCAGGGTTTCAGAAAGATTATGAGGTTGTCGCCTAGATACTGACTGTTTCTTTACGCGTTTTTGCTCCACAATACATTTGTTTTGGTTTGTCAGACTTTACAAATCCAGTGTAGCTGCTTTTAAAAATATTTGACATTGGGTAGCATTGTTAATTGTTCCTTCTTTTATTTAATTGAATTCATCCTTATTCTGTATTTAAATTGTCCAATTAAAAAGTAAAGTGAACCCCCCCAAATAGTATCAATTAGTAAAAAGTTTGAACTTTTGTCATTCATTAATAAAGGTGCACATCATAGTTGAAATAAAGATATCTTTGCTTAGATATCAGCTTTGTTAGCTACAATCTGCAAGTTTTTAGCACCTCCTAGGCTCTGTCACACCCAATAATTAATGCAGCTGACTGTTGCTTTACGCTTTGCTAATTGGTTGTTTGAAAAGTTAACACTTGGTAATGACAGTCTTCTTGGCCTCATTTATAAATGTTTACTGACCTGCCCACTCCCTCCCAGTAAACAAGTCACATACTCGACTCCAGTCAGTAAAATCAACAAACAACAGCAGCGTCATGCAAGCACAAACAGCCATCATCCCCCCCGTCAGCTCCTCCTTGGGAGCTGCTGTTTGTGCATAAACGCCCAGCCTGGTTTTGTTTCGCTCTCTTGCGCTCTCTTTACAGCAGTACAAATCCTGATCATACTTTCCGATTTATTTGTGACATAAAAAATGTAACTAGAAACCAGGGGCAAAAACCTGCAGATCTTAGCCTTCACTTTTTGAGGGTACACTTTTTGAGGGAGTTACTGTTGATTGTAGAAATCCGTAATGGAAAACCATTACTTTCTTGGAAGAGTTTTTAAGCATTTTTTTTTTACCTTTTTTTAAAGATCCCTTTTTCTATATGAGAAATAAATAAAATGTCTGCATACACAGTGCTTGTGTGCTTACAAATGTTAAATTTCATATGAATGGTTTTAAATGAGAGAAGGGCAGCTGTACTTGTAGTTTGATAGTTGGTGGTTAATTGATCTGCGGATCTCATCCAGCTGCTTCTTGAAGGGTATCAGCTTCCACAACATGGATGTTGTTGTTGTGGATATTCACAACACTATGTGAAAAGAAGGGCCTCCTGTTCTCAGTTTTAAATATATTTCCACATGGTTTCCACTTGTGTCCTCTGGTTCAAGTGTCGATAATTCACTTGGATCCAAGACTGAATATTTAGATCAGGTCGGTTTATAGTCTTCTCTGTTTAAGGCTAGCTTCGGTTCTTCCAGAACATTCCCTCAAGCCCAGGAATGTATATAGTTGCTCTTTTCATGACCGATTTGCATTATTTTCTATAATGTGATGACCGAAATGGTATACAATATTCTAAATTAAATAAAACATTGCTGAGTGCTCAACAGAACTTTTAAAATTAAACTCTTCCTGAAGGGAATCTCTCTTTGAAAGAGTTTTCAACCTTGTAATATAACTCTAATGTTCATTTTGTAAAATACCCATTTGAATCTGAATAGCTATAACTGTACGACAGAGAAATGAGTTGAACCTGCTTTTGTTTGTATGTGTATGTTCTACAGTCATCTTAAAATAGTCTCCTAACTCTCTGGTGGAAAACAGCTTCCTTAAAAAAATAATTACTGCAGTTAAACCATTTTATAGCAAAAGAGAAAGGAAAGCTGAAAGACTTCCCTTCTCTCAATAGCAGGAGTTATGAAACCCCTGTAGTAAAATAGTTATATTGAATTTCCTAGATTTAGAACACTGTGGCCTTTGACTCCAATGGCCATGGTCTCCTTCTTTTAAGAAAAGTCTTTTGATGAAGTTGTTTACTAGTTCACGGTGTTCCTGTGTAATGCACTAATATAAGGCTTCATCAGTCCACATGGTTTCAAACTTAGTGGTGTACTTTAGTCTCTTGAAAACACCCTTATCATAATACAGTTAGGTATTTTAATAATGTTTTTGTCTTTTAAAGGAATATAACCTTTCCCATTCTGTCATCTTTACTTCGTCTGAATGAAATAGATCGTATTTGGTTTTACTTAAAAGTATTTTCAATTCTAGTTCAACAGAAATAGATGACATGCTACGGAAATCCACAAACCTGCTGTTGACCAGAACCTTAAGTAGCTGTCTTCAGAACCTCATCAAAAAGCCACATATAGGTTTGACAGAGGTATGCTGTTTGCATCTGGATTTTTATTGTTTTACTATTATGTCTGAACAGAATATCATAAGTATTTGGGTAGAAATTGGAATTTTCTGTTAGAAAAGAAATATGGTGTGACAAAGGCATCCTTTTATTTGTCGTTAGTATCAGCGTTTCAGTTATTTCAGAGTGGATTTGTTCACACAATAGCTATAAACTAAAACACTTAGTATAATAAGAAGTTTGATGTAGATGATAAGAGGCAGATTTAAAGTTTGATTAGAGTTACTCTGCTCTGGGTTATCTTGCGCCCTTTATGAAGCCTCACTTAAAAACATATCGCTCCTCCTCCAATTGAGGAACAATGTGCTTTTAATTTGAGAGTGATAGTTTGCTTCTACCATTACAGAACCTAAATAAAGTTAAGTACCATTTCCTGCAATGCAGTTAATCCCGGGAAGTAATTCTCTGGGTGGTGGCTGCTCTGTGACTTTAAAACCAGGTCATGATACAGATAGGAGGAGGAGAGAAATAACTTGATGTTGTTTTTTGTGCTTTGTAGCTGGTTCAAATCATTATAAACACGACTCACCTGGAACAGGCCTGTAAATACCTGGAAGACTTTATAACGAACATCACAAATGTTTCCCCAGAAACCATTCACACTACGAGGCTCTATGGCCTTTCCACGTTTAAGGTATGCAAAACAGCAGAAATGTGTTCAATTATACCTGGCACACTTAGTCATTTTTGCACAGTTTGTGTGACCCTACAAAATGCACAGGTCCTGGAAAACATGAGAACAATTACTTGCAGTGTCTCGGCAACAGAAAAATAAGTTAACGGGAATGTCACAGACTGCAGATTGTAAAACCTGAACAACTACAAATCTGCAAAATATGTATACATACAGTAAATGGCCAAGCCACATTGTGCCTGAGGTTGTGTATGCATGCATGTGAATTTATATGAACACATGTATATCATTTCTGTTTATATGTGGCTTTTGTAAAAAAGGTAATTTCCATCTTCCATTCTGAGAACACTGCATAAAATGAGGCTTGGTAGTACATCAGGTACTCTTGAGTTGACATTTTTGGAGATACTTTTTTCTGTAATACTAAGGTTTTACTGTTCATATGAACCTGGTGTTCTTTTTTTTTAAGCTGTCTCACACAAAAGTATGCAGATAGAACACACGCGAAATAAGTGGTCTATTTAACAGTGACAGTGATAAAATGTTGCTATCATTGTCACATCTCAGATTGAGGCTACTTTAGTAGTTCTATGGCAAACATTAGCAAAATCCAATAGAACTGCAACCTAAGAAGAAATATTGCATCAGTGTTTAATATGATAAGAGTAAGATTGAAGGTGATGTGAAATAATAAAATACCTGTTGTATTTAGGATGCCAGACATGCAGCAGAAGGAGAGATCTATACTAAATTGAACCAAAAGATTGATGAGTTCATTCAGCTAGCGGACTATGAGTGGACCATGTCAGAATCTGATGGAAGAGCTAGTGGATATCTAATGGACCTCATCAATTTCCTCAGAAGCACATTCCAAGTCTTCACGCACTTGCCTGTGAGTATATTAAGTTTAAAACTTTGTCAGAGAACTTGAAATTGTCATAGAACTGCTGCCCTCCCTTGTATTATTTTTTAATGCTAGGTGGTCGTTTTTAACACGAAACCCTGTTTGTGAGGTTAAGCCTCATTCTGCAGTGAGGGAGTTGAAGAATAGTATTGTGCTTTCCTGGGAGGGGTTTTTAATTTAACTGAAAGGTATCTTCGGATTTCCAGGCAGCACAATCTTTCAATTACCTACATAGGTGGCTTTTAATCCAGTTAGAGCAATCCTCAATAGGGGGAAAAGACAATTATACTATTTAGTCCTTTATCCTTTACAATATACCTCTGATCCTATTGCAGACTTAACTTCCTAGATAAACAGGAAAAGAGGTCTTAAGGTACTGAGGTGACTGCTTGACTAATCTTCTAAATATTTATTTAAAATTGGCCAATTGCTATATGGTGCAGCTTCCTATTCTTCTCCACAGGAAGGTTGTCCCTAAGATGTAACATTTAGGTTTTAAAGCAGCTCCGGAGTGTTTTCCCCCCTGGCTAGGGAAATTATTTGTAACATTAAAAGACCTTAAGTTCTCTTAGAATTAAAACCTGTCTTTCGTTCTGCCTTTCCTTTCTACCCATTTATTGTTGCCGTGCTTTCTTTCCCTGTCCGTATTTGATTTTTGATTTCCTTGCTGGGTTCTGCTCAGAATAACAACAATGACCATGCAGCAATGTCGGTAAGTAAACGGCTGTGATGACAAAAGCACAAGCATGCACATTTTCAGGACTGTGGACTGTCTCCAGGCTTATTGCTTTCGCCACGTTTAACCTCAGTGGAGTCGGCTGAATGAGCTCTTCTTAAGTGTTTAATACAGCCAAGTGTCTTTAATCTGTACATTTGTCTGAACCTTGCTTGTTAAGTAGTTTGCGTAACCAGTGCAGTTAAACAGATCGACGTCCATACACGCGTACAGCAATATTTTGGTCAAGGTCACACCCTGTCCTTTTACCGATCTGTGCTTCGAGCGAAGAATGTCTCAGTTTGTCATTCAAACCACAGCAAACCACATCAGCCACAGCTTTGAAAATTTGTTGGTTTCAGTCTAAATTCTGAATGTAAAAATAATGACTCAATTAAACTGCTCAGTGAAGGTATCTAAATGAATTCCCCTCTCTACCTATTTATTTATCCAACTTTATATATTACATACTGTTGTGATTTTATGTGACTCGTATGTTTTGCTTGTGTTTTGTACTTCTGTGGGAGAAGCCAAAGACAAATTTCCACAGCTGTGGACAATCAAGTATCTGTCTATCGTATTTGATGCCCCAGAACCTGTTGACGGCAAGGACAAGCCAAGGATCCAGTATCTGTGTATTCTAAAGAAGAAATAATTAAAATGACTAAATGGCTCTTATAATTTAGAAGCGGATGCTGTATTTCCACATGGAATGGTGACTGCTTTAGTCTAGCCTGAACCCCCTGTCTGGACTCTTTTCACAAAGTTTATTGGCCAATTACTTTTACTTTTTTAATTTGTTTTCTCCATATCTGACTATTTATCAAAATTTGTAATGGGAACTGCACTTCTCATTTCTCATTATTTATGAAAACATTTTTTTAACAGAAATATTGCTGATTTTTTAGCCGTTACATATTTCTGTTCCGTTCATGTGTGTAATTCACAAAAAAAAACTGGAGTGAAAAATCAAATACTAAGAAGAGTGATTGTTATGATTTATGGTTGCCTTATTATTGGTATATGTATTTTACCAGTCTTATTTTGGAATGGTAACAAATAAACTTCATCATCTCATAATAAAGTAACTTCCTCTTGATGGGGTTAGAGGTGAGAACTCTCTTAAAGTTAAGAGAAATGTTAACCCGTTATCTTACTGTGTCTGAGGCACACCAGAAGCTACTTTTAAAAGAAGCTGAGCTTAATTCCGTGCTGAAAAGTGGAAAGGGAAAAAAACACAACCTTGTGTTTACCTTTCAGCATGGAATTAACCTCTGCTTGTTCCACACTGACACAACTCCCCACTCCAACCTCCATTTTACAAACAGGTAAGCAATGCTTGCACAATGTCAGTATTTGCTTGTGCTTGTAGGTGAACACTCCAGAAAGCCTTACATTTCAAGTAAAGACTTTGATATCTGAAGAATTGATATTTAACTGTGCGGGACGGAGAGGGGGTTCTGGGGAGGTTTTTATCCACTGGGCTGGGGGGATGGGCACGGCTGTTGTTCATTGTTTGGGTGATTGGCAGGGAAAGTCAGAACTCACAGCTGGCAGTGAGGCGCTAGTGGGTAAGGGCCGACTCGTCTCCACAAGCTAGATTGAAAATATGTCAATCAAATGGCCGTATAGGCTAGCGAGAGAATGGTTTCCTTACTGACCCCACCAAATGTCACCTCACACTGCCTTTGATTGGCACAGCCCTGGCAGGGAGGATGGATGAAACTGTCACTGGCTGGATAATTGTGCTGCTGGACTCAGCCTGACAGCAGGTCTTTGGCTCTTTAAGTGGATCAATGCAAAACAAATTAGCAGATTGTAGTCATATTTCTCATTCTATAAGCTTTGACTTTGTTGAATGCACTCCATAAATCATATTGACTGACATTCAACTGAATGATGAAAGCTCCTTTTCAGGCAGCTAGTGCCGATTAAGAAAGCTGTGTAAGTTTTCTTTTTTTCTTCTTTTAAAGGAAAAGTGCCGTGAAAGGATGCATATGGTTGACCCTTTGGGAATTTCCTAGGAGCTAAATGTATCTTTGTTGCAATTGTTCTTAAGTTTAAAAAGCTTTTGGCTACTCTAGAAAGGATTTAATGTGTCAGCAGATCTCCTTTTGAAATATAAGTTGTTTGCTAAGGGGTTTCTTCCTTTAGCATTCTCTGGTTTAAGAAGGTTAAAGAGCACATGCCTATTATTGCCTGGTTTTGTGCCTGGAGAATCGCTTGTGTTCTGTCCACAGTGTGTCGAAATCGCAAAGTAGGTATCAAGTGTTTGGATCTTGCTCACAGATCTCAGCTTGAACACATTAAAGAAATGTCATTCTTAGGTTAAGACAGTATCTTTCTCTTTTGCCAGTTTTCGTGAAGGCTCTCTAGCCAGTTCTTTACTCCTTGTGGAACATGAGATTGTATACTGTTTTAATCTTTTACTGTTTTGCCTTCTTATTCTGTATACCAGAATTACAGAATAAATTATGTATAACAAATTCTGTATCACAATGTGACTTTGATTTTTACGTAAAGTCACTGTCAGAAGAATTACTGTCAAAATATTAAGACTAATTAAATTGTAAAGACCAATAATCATCTTTTTTTTCTGGGTGATATTAATCCTAAGTTCACAGTCTGGTAAATGAAAGATTAATTGTGCTGTTTCTGGGAAATACCAATTTAATGCTCCTTTAGTAAGAGAATGTGTAACTCTCTACTCAGCACTTTCCGATCCTGAGTTAGAGAGTTAATAACTGCATTTGTAATTTGTTGTTCCCTTTAAAACTGAGATGTTTCTTATTCTTTTTGTTAAATTCATCATTAGGACTGTCAGAAGAACCCTCAGTTCTGTGCAGAGCTAGGGCCTAGAAAAAGCTTAAACTGTGCTCTGCCATTTATTTCTTTTTAAACATCTTGTCATTCACAAATTTGCTTCTGAGAATACTAAACTCTTTATGAAAACTAATAGATAGCAATTTTATTTACTATTTTTTCTTCCATTAAACAATTTGCTGTATAATTTTCATTTTCACTGTGAAATCCATTCTTGCCATTTTAACTAATAGTTAATAGCCATTCAGCATCAGGTGAATGCATAATCTGGTGAATGAGCTCCATTTATAAAATTCCACTGATACAATGTGCATCTTTTTTAGGTTTTCCAAACTGATAAGAGATCTTTTTTATTGTGTCGAACATGTACTAGTGATTACCTCCTAGGGAGACAAAGTTGCTATAAAACATTGTCGTGCCACTTCTTATTTCAAACTACTTTACGCATGATATGCGGATTATCATTACAATAAGCCTGTAGCCTAGTGCATGGTCAAAATAAAAATTCTAATAATTCATTGTGCATTTTTGAGCAGTCACTATTGTGCCAGCAGACCTTGTATTTCCAAAAGCGACCTTGTATTGCACTCGTCATCGTGTTCTCCGCCTCAATCATCAAATCAGTGTTGACTACTCTACTTTACCTGCATGTCAGAGCTGGTCCTGCTGCACATAAGAGAGCAAAACAGAAATGCTGCTGTTTAGAAAGCAATAGATGTATCTGCATTTAAATATAATGAAGGTTAGAATTTTCCTTGACAACCTATTAATCTGCTTACCCTGTTATTGCATTACAGTTGCAGAATAAATAGGACACAGAGCTGATTTAATGAAGCAGTGAATTAAACCAAAGTGCAATACGTGTTCCATTAAATTAAAATGACATTTCCATTAAGTATCTCCGACCTATTACACTGTAATTAAATGAACTGTGGCCCATTCATTTCTTTCATACTTCCTTTCATATTGATATTGTCCTGCTTGGGGAGTAGAACTGCATGTCTCCCAATGTAATTACCATTGAGACTGGGGGACTTTCAAGCATGCTGGTTTTTGCATTGTTTCATGCATTCCTTTTCAGCAGTTCATCTATTTCTGTCAATTTTGGTTCTGCTACCACTTTTCTTTCTGAGCCCTGCAGCTAAGATATTGGCATCTCCACTGGACATTGGGGTTCTGTGTGGTTCCCAGGGCACTGTCTCTTCAAAAGAAACAAAAAAAGATTCAATGCACCAAATTTAGTTACAGTGTCCCAGGATGGGATCTGAGAAGGAGGCTTGACATGATGTGTTTTTATTTAGACTACAATGAATATGCATGTCAGTGTTTCTCAACTTGCATTCGTAAGACTCTGTTTTTCTTTTTGAGGCATCAACTAAACTAGTGCAAGATTTTTTAAACATTCCAACATATTGCTGTATGTAAAAACTATTCTTCATGCATTTTTTATATATAGAATTAGTTTATATGGGAACCATTTGTGTGTATCAGTTCAGAGATGTTTGTGCAACATGAAGTTGCACTGGGTTTCCAGTTTCACTGTGCAGGGAGTGAGAAGTATACTTTTGTCATCCTTCTACACGATTCCCTGTTTTTCCATTTTCCTTTCCCACTTGCCTTCAACAGACCTAAATGATTTCCTGAACATTTCAGTTCACCATTATCATGATGCTGAAGTTTTATTTTAGACCGGTTACAGGGTTGGTTGTAAAATGCGCTGATAGCAACCAAGAAATTACCAGGGTTGTTAGACTGAGGAATCCCATTCCTTCTGTTCTTAAAAGAAGAAAGTGACCTACAATTCCTATTATCATCGTAATAGGAGTTTCTATGACTTAATTAGCTGAAATTCTGTTTATCAAAAGCTAAAAAAAAAAACATTGGGGTTTTGAAAAATAATTGTAATGACTTGGGGTTAACTGACAGTTCACCAAATTACATGTCGTTTATTGTTCTGTTATATGAACTGCATAAACGTATGTACAGAAAAAGGTAGTGCATGCAGCTGTATTGTTTGCTTGTCTTTTTTTTGCAGTCGCACAACCCTGTTCATTTCAAGCGAGTATGTTCAGAGCTGTCAGCTTTGTGTCGATCTGCTTGTGTGGTCATGTTGCGTATGTGATTTGGATGCGTGTTAAAAGATTATGTAGGCAATCAGGGGAAACAGGCACCCCTGGCATTGCCTAGCAAGTGAACCTTAATCTTTTACCATGTTCTGTTGACCCAGCATATATGCAGTGGTTAAGAGAGGTCTTATGTTTTTTTTCTTTTTTTCCTTCAGGGAAAAGTTGCTCAAACAGCCTGCATGTCAGCCTGCAAGCACCTGTCGACGTCCTTAATGCAAATGCTGCTTGACAGTGAGCTGAAACAAATAAGCATGGGAGCCATCCAGCAGTTCAACCTGGATGTCATGCAGTGTGAATGTAAGTGGGACATGTTAAGCCTAATAGTGTTGAACTGGGGATTTTGCCTTCATTACCTTGACAACACAGCGCTCTTGTCTGTGGCAGATGCTTGGTAGGTTTGTGACGAGAGAGTGGAAGAGCTACAGGCCTGCAATATCACAGTCACTCAGGTCAGCTTCTGTTTGGCATCTGGGTTTGGCTGCTTAAACTAGCAGGATTTACAGGTCATGCTTTGCTGTGAACAAAAGACTGTGATCATTCGAACAGTGAGCTTGAGGTAGCATGGCAAAAGGATGCTAAATAGCATAGTGCAAAGGCTAGTGTAAAAATGGTTCACATCAAGTTTGAATGAAGTAGAAATTGTCTAGTTCTGTTGGATAACGGGGGTTCTGTATATCTTTTTTTTTAAACTGTAACTGCTTAGGATCTGAAAAACTGAAAACTGTGCCAGTGTAGAGCACACTTTATTTTCATGGTGTACCTGACATGTTCCTGATGCAGTATTATTAGTATTGCAGTGATTTAAGGCCCTTTCCCAATAGAACAGTAGAGTACAAGTACAGCCTTTAGATATTTTAATGAGGTCCATAACCTGAAACCTACAGTAGTTTCGTAGCTACAGTGTGTTTCTATACTAAACTTATTTTTATTTTAACCTTTACCCATTTCACTTTTATAAAGGCCTTACTTGAATAAATTAATTAATATGGTCAGAATTTTTTTGCAAACCCTAAACAGCACAATAGAATAACATGCATAAAAAGACACAAAGGGCAATACAATTTTTCACAAACATCCCATGACTGCTGTTACTGATCTGCATGTGCAGAGAACCCTTGACAGCTCTCTACGTGGAGTTCTGCTTATGAATGATTAAGACAAATTGTATGCCTGTAAAGTCATTTGCACAAATAGTTGTAACAGTTTATGCTTGTTGTTATCAAGGTGGCCTTAAAAGTCCTTTACATGTTTTTTTTTTCATAAAAACAGCAAACCTATGACATTGTAAGAAATAAATTCTGAATCTATTTAAATTGAAGTATTGTCTGCAATTAACACTGTGCTTGTAATGTTTCCATGTGTAATTAAAAGCATCTTCAATCAAAAAGCATTCCATTTATAAACACTGCCAATGGCACTCAATTGTTTGAAAAGAAAAAAATAATTTCATTTCACTTTGTCACATTGTGGTTTACCAGCACAGAACGAGTTCAAAGAATGAAAAAAACTGACCTGCTTTTCTTAAGGAATCCTATGATTTATTACAGCAGAGTGTACAATTTCAAATACCAGGTTGGCTATTAGTGGGTTTCCACCAGACGATGTAATTATAGCTTTCAACAATATAAAATAAATTGATGCACATCTAAAGCGCGAAGTACAATCTGATACACTCTTCCAGTTGAAGCTGTGACTTGTTAAGTCCAATATTAAAGTCTAACGGCCTTGAACTCTCATAACCTTTTTCAGTAGCTGGAGTAAAACTGGATCTTGCGAACTCCCAGCTTTGAAGGCTACGTTTTGACCCTCGGTTTTGCTCTTTCAAGCCACTCACTCAGCCCCTACCCCCTCCCTGCAGCTTGTGCTGCCATTCTCCACATGCCAGAGCGCAGGACAACATAAACCACAGTTTTGCCAAGACAAATATCACTTCAACAGAGCACTTTTGTACCACTTGCTGGGTTGCTGTCGCACTTCGCCAAAGGCTACTCTTTGTTTTATGTAGCAAGAGTTTGGTGTTTTTGTTTTGATGGACTTTTCTTCTAGTTATAGAAAGTTATCAGAAGTTTTAACAGCTCAAATCTCTGTGTACCTGAATAATACGTTAGGACATATTTCTGAGGGGATTGGCGACCTACAACATCCTGAGGGGCTCGTCTATAGCCTAAGGTTACCCTTTTTAATTGCTGTAATGTGAGACACAAAAGACCAGCACCTCTTTCTACATATTTATTCAATCAGTTAGCTTGTGTGTCCTGGCTTAAATTGCAGCATGCCCTGTAGAAGTCCCGTTATTAAAAGAAGGGAAGGAAACTCTTCGTGCTTCACAACAGTTTTGGCTTCACATTTCCCCTGTACCTCTGTCCATGGAGGGACCCCTGCGCCCTCTTCATTGACAGAGAGGTGCCAGAAACTTGCATGATAAATTAAAACAGCACTCCACTGGAGCTGGCTTTGTGGCTCCATTCACAAGGACTGTCGGAGACACATTCCAGACATCACCCTGTTGGCCGTGATTTATGCCACGATTCATCGCCCTCCTCCAGTCCTTTTCTATGACATTTCAGGATTAATGGTCACAACGGTGACATTTCCATTAGCACTTAGGGTGCGCAAATAACTCACAAATGGCAGGTAGCTTCCTACTGTAAATGATAAATTGGTGAGGGGTTTTACCAGTGCTGGAAGGGCTTAGGAGTCCTATGTGTGAAGCCTGATATACAAAAGGGTTGCACTTTCACAGGGAAGAGGTCCCACCCCTCTCTGTATCAAACATGATGGAAGCACAACTGCTGGACTTTCCGAATAAATGCTTTTCAGTATTAGTGTGTAGGGCCTACTCTTGTCAATACTGATTCCCTTTCAGTGCAGTATACTGTATTTCCAGTTTTAATGTGCTCCTGTCACTAAAAACAGAAACCAGAACCAAAAGATGAGGGTATTTCAAGGGTTATGCACATTGTCCCTATATTGTCTCACAGAGAATTGAAAGCCTTCTAAGACAGTTTAGTTATTAATGGGGTGTGTCACCTTCAAACTTATTTCTACATGCAGGGGAATTATGAGTCTTTCTTGACTTAAAGAAGTGTGCTTTGAACTCCAATTGTGGGGTTACAGTGTTTGGAGAAGAAAAACTATCAAGTTGACCAGGTGTTCTTTGGGTTTCTTAGGGTTCTTTGACAGCTTGTTGTTCTGCTGTGCTAAAGTGAAAATACTTCTGTTCCTTAACTCAGTATTATTTAATTTTGAGCCATCTGCCTGCTTGAGTAATAACATTTTAAAACAATATTTGAGGGTGCTTGCTTTCATTGCAGATATGATTTCTTTTTACGTTCTTTTTACATTTTGACTTACAGAATCAGAAATCATTGCTCTGCCCAGAGCTTATGGATCAAGGCTGTCACTGGGCCACAACTATTAACTATAACTATTAACTTTTAATATAAATATGTTTCTTTAGTAGAATTATAGATATGTCATGATTATAAAATACGATTTTTAAAAACATTATTTTATATCTACACCTTCAAAGAAGTCTAAGACACACATTTCTAACCATCTGTTTATCCTGTTGTTCAGTCTGTCAGCTCTCAATACAAAGGAACAAAATTAAGAAAAAATACAGAAGCCGTTTCTTTAAAAATATATGTTGAAACAGAGTTATAATTAAACAATCAGAACACAATCCCCCCCCCCCACCACCATGAGTATTAATTTCTAACACTAAATACACTGTACTTTTATGACACAGATTTTTTGTAGTTCAAAAACATGGCTCTTTCTTGCTGTTTTACTTTAGTTCACATGGTCATTCAGGGACCACAGTTCTGTTGATCTCTGTATTTTAAAAGGAAAGTTTCCAGCAGTCTAAGGGCTGACGTGTTTTCCAGCAGTGGCCTCGCTCATGTCCCACGTCACTGTCCTTTGGTCACCTCCGTCCGGGTCTGATTGGCTGACAAAACAGCGATCCTGAGCCTGACGTGAAAAGGCTCTGTATACTTCAGAAACAAACTTAATGAGCCATGTTTGAGACAACAATTTTGCATGAGTGTCATAATTAAGAGGGGGTGTTAGAAGAGGTAGGGAAGGGTTATTCTTTCCGCCCTGTTTTTTGTCTTTTGTAGGGGGTTTTTCGACTTGATTGCACAGCGTCTGTTGATAGTGTGCCCTTTTTGAACATCTACCTTTCTCCAAACGTCTCATACCTGACTGCCCTGCTAAGCCTTCAGGCAGGGTTTTAATTTTACCGGGTGAAAGAGAGTTCATCATTGAGTTCAGCAAATCTGGTAAAAGGGGAAAAACCTGCTTCTGAACTATTTTAGGTGTCATTTCAGAGCTGGTGTGTAACATACATGGGACGAAGTGAACCATCTGTTATTTCATGTTACACTGGACTATTATTTTGTTGTTACTATATTCCTCTTTCACTCTAAATAGGAAGAAACACAATTGCTTTCAGAAAATAAACAGCTAAAGCACATTTATGTTTTGAAGTGAAAGATAAAACATTTTTTATTTTTCTTTCCATAACCTGTTTTAATTGGATATTTGTGAGTGTAATATGGCTGTATGACTATAATACTATTGAAATTTATTTGAAATACTGTTGAGTGTTTTTAACATGATTAATTCTGCAGGAGCAGAAAAAAACAAGACTGTTTTTAGTATTATTGTCTTTAAACCAGCTCACCTGAGACTGTGTGTTGACTGAAAGCACCTATGGTTAGTTCCTTTAGCCTCGAGGCATGTAATAGGAGAAGCATTGATCATCACAACCATAAGAACACAGAGGCTTCTTGAATCGTTGACATTTCTTAGGATTTTGAGGCCGAACTTGTATCCCAAGATTAGAACAACCAAAAAACCTTCATTCCACTTTTACAGTGTTTATTTAATGACAGCATACTCTTCTTTTAAAAGACGGTGAGCAGTCATTGTATCTTCACTAGATCCGAGTTTAAATAAAATGTATTTGTTATTCTTTGGGTGTTGGGTGTTTATCATTATTAATTCATTTGACTTTTGTAGTTACGGTTATTGCTACATACATCACCAATCTGTTTGAAAATAATATTATGAGAATGTCTCATTCAGCAGCTGGCCAAAATAACTACAACTACTGTATATACACATATACCATTGGTAAAATACAGGACTGAGATCCAGATTAAATGGACATAGGAATTAGTGATCAGAGTTGCTTGTAAACTGTAGAATCTGATGAGGCAGAAAACTGAGCATCTTATTTCCTACTTTGCATATTTTTCGTGTTTTAGCCGGGAAACAGAGTTGGTGAAAGGCAAGTTTAAAGAAACACAGTGATAAAGAATTAAACGTTAATTTTTAGTTGTAAATACAAATGATAATTGAATACCTACCCATTAATGTTTTTGTCTTCTTTTGTATTTAAAAAAATCTAAAGTTGCATAGCTTCACAGTGGGCTATGAACAGTTTCACTTTTTGAATTTCAACATCATACTGAACAATAATACTAATACAAGCCTCTGCCATACAATTTCCCTGCTTCTTATCCTTAATCTTGAGCAGGGGTATAATTTTGGTCCTTTAGCATTAGTTTAAAAACTAAGGGTATCATTAACCATAATTTCAGTTATTTTATTGTGATTCACTTTAGACAGCAGGGATATTGACGTCTTTAAGAAATGTATGATTTGGAAAATATCCTTCAAAACAATTAAGGGAGCTGTGTGAGGTGAAAATCAAGTAAGCTGTAATGGAACAGAATTGATCAGGGATTGAAAGCTTACAATAGGTACAGTGATAAAACATGTTGACAGATTAGGGGAGAAAGCGGCAAAATGTATTTTTCAGTCGGTTTATCTTTATCCAGATAGAGGTAAAGAGGGTTAGTTTGTCTCTTAATTATTTTTCTTCAGGCTTTTCTCATTTTCAGTATTTGGTGATCAGATGATCCCACTTCAAAACTTTCTGAAAAAAAGCAGCAAAATTCCATCATCAGAAACTTGTTAAAAGGCAAGAACAGACATTCCAGGCCAAAAGTGATTGTGGTGATCAGAGCATTCCACCTGTTGTCTGCATGTTAAGCTAACCCCCACCCTACTGTCTGTCTGTAATTGCTGTTTGGCTAGAGGTTGGATTTTTATTGAGCAGATGCTGTAACAAAAGCAGATGTTTAAAAATATGTTGACAGCGATGGAATTGGTGTCCTCTCAAAATACTTTTGTAATCATTCCCCCTGCGGGTAAAAATAGTAGAGAATGCTTAGCCCAGATGAATATAACATATCACGACTTGTAAACTTTATACAGGTTAACCTTGATGAACCCATTGTATTGAAGGATTACTCTAATTAAACACACGATAAAAAAGTCCGAAATGACTTTAATTTTTGTGGTCTTGGGTGTGGGATCAATTTAACTGTAATAATTGTACTTTAATGGGGGTAAATTCCTGCTTCACTGCGCAAGTCAGTGTGGCTCAATGTACACATAATAAACCGTATGTGCAGTGGCATGTTCCAAGGGTTTCTCGGTATTTTGCTTTCGAGCTCAGCCTGAGAGTGGTTTTGTGTGCGTTTTTGTCTTGCAGTGTTCGCTAGCTCCGAGCCGGTGCCGGGATTCCAGGGGGACACCCTGCAGTTAGCGTTCATCGACCTCCGACAAGTAAGTCTTCACTTTCTGCTCTCGATAAGAGATGCTGCAGTGGTCGGAGGAACGCCGAACTTTAAAGCGCCTTTGAGCTGCGTCGATGGGGAGCCCTTGATGGATTGTAGCTCTGTGTGCTTTATCGAACAGCGTTCCTCCACTCGCTGTGTACCTTGTTTATATCTACCACTTTCTGTCCTGAAGTATTTGTGACCTCTCAGTTGCTGCCAGAGCGTTGCTCTTCACAGGTACCTGGGGTTACAGAAGAGAGGTTGTGAAAACCTGTGCCACATACACCCTCCCATTTTTTGTCAGTTAAAACCTCAAATTATAAAGAAATCCTTACAACTTGAATTGCATACTTTTTTTATGAAGAAAGGTCTTGGTCATCTTTGTCTATGCCATTTAATTTAGATTATTTTATAAGATGCTTAAAAACCATATAGTGCTTAAAAATATTTTTAGATAATCACTGTGTGGAAGGATTTGTGAGTTTAGGTTATCTATAATAATTTTGTAAGACATAAATGTCAATTTGTGTATTGTTGTCAGCCCATAGTAAAATTTGACAAAAAAAACTGAGTTCTACTTTAATTTCTTACCTCTGTTATTTTTGGGTGTATACAAACTGTATAGAGGTCCCTGCAGTCATGTCATGAATCCAGACACACATTGTAACTCTAATATATTCCAACTGTTCTATCCCGTTAATATTTCTAAACATCCTTTTTTTATGTTACCTTACAAAACATATGTGTTTCAGGGAGGGTTATTTGGTAGTTGGTGCTACTGCTTCACAGCTCTTGAATCCTGGGTTCAGTTCTGGATGGGAACTCTGTGGAGTTGCATGTTCTCTCCTGAGTGTGTGTGGGTTTTCTCCTTGCTGTGTGGGATGATGGGGACTCTGTATTGTCCTGTGGGTATGTGTGTGAGCATAGTCTGTAGTGGACAAGCATCCTGTCCAGGGTGTGGTCATGCCTTGTGCCCTGTGCTCTTCTTGGTCCTGCAGTGCCCCGGTTTTCTGATAACAGATGGATGGAAGTGCTTCAGGAATGTCTGGCATGTTCTCAACAGTGCATTTAGTCAAAGACCTATCTTTACACGGTGCAGTTGGTTGGAAACGGTGCCAGTTAGTTTTAAAGATTCTCTGATAGTGTTCGTACAAAACATCAATAGAGACTGTTAAAGATACACATTTGCACTTTTTTGTGAAAGTCAGTCATCGGTGATGATATCATCACAACATGCAGTCATGTTGTTAAAAGATAGTCAAGATGCTCATTTTTATCACTCATTTATACGATGCATTGACAGTAATTAATGTGCTTTTTAAAAAAAAAATAATACCCAATGCAAACCTCACAGTTACTACTGTTTGTTTAACTATAGTATGTACATTTTATAAATGGAAGCACCATTAAATTCTCTATTCCCGGATGTTGTTCACATCTGCAGTTTTGTGCTGGTAGCTGTGTCTTTTTCACGTGCATATTGATCACACTCTTTCTTTTCTTATTATGTGGTCTGTAAACTTTCATTTATAACTAGTCAGCAGGTAACATTCTAAACCTGACCAATGGTTCCTTATAAAGTCAATGAGATTGTCCTCTGGGCATATCTGCAATTTAATAATTACATAAAAATGATATCAATGTGATGACAGCCAGGTATTTGAATATAAAGTATATTGTGTGTATTGTAGGCCTGCTCTAAACATTACTTAATATGAGGATGTATTGCACATGAGAGTAAACAAGACATGCGTGAGAATTTGAGACATACTGACAACTCGGAAGTCTGATAATCTGTGTGTGGGACTTCTAAGATGGTTCTTTGTGTCAATAATGATGCATGAGTGAAGTATTTTATTGGAATATTTGAATTATTTGAAGCTGCACATCCTCCCATCAGTGAGAGAACTAGGAGAGTCTAGTTAAATTTTCCAGCACAACGATGAAACGACTCAGCCACATCAACGTGCATTTTTGAAGGGGATAAAATGTGAAGGTGCCTGATTTCCAATCTCGATCCCTTTATTCTCAAGCCAGTTATGATACTGAAGGAATCATTTAAGTGTTTTAAATGAGAGATTTGCTGTGAGAGCCACAGATTGGTTAAAGCACTGCATGTTGAGAAATGTGTTGAAATGGTTCTTAAATCTCCAAAGGAATTCTTTAAAAGTTGCTGGCTGTTATATAAAGACATTTATGCTATAAGAAAAGGTAAGACAAAGCAAGTAGAACATAACATCAAAAAACATTTCTTTGAAATAGTTCTTTGAATCAAGCGATTTGGCACAAATGTGGGATTTTCTCACCACTAGCAGTGGTTGTACAAGTTATCCCCCTTTCTGTGTTTAAATGTCTTAAGAAGGGCTTTTGTTCCATTTTTGAAAACTGAATGATTGTCATTGTTTTCCAGAGGTACCTAAAAAGAAACAGTACCTTCTCAGAAAACGCTCTTAAGGGGGTCATGGAGGTGTTGTGCAGTTTGAATTCGATATGGCTCTGTACATGGGAGCTTATGAAAGATAAGGAAGGAAGCCCAGTGGTCAGGCTCTTCCTGTTCACCCTGGCGGTGCCCCGGGGTCAGGCTCTCTCCGCTCGTGGTGCTCTCTGGAATAGCTGATGACAGGTAGCGGCTGATACAAGGGAAAGCTTGAGCAGTATCAAAGCTAAAAGCCGGGAGACCTGGGATCCGATGAGAGACTGTAGCTAAAAGATGGATCAGTGGGAATGCCCTTTTTTGAAAAGGAGCTGACCCAAGATTGAAAGATCATGATCTTTCTGCCAATCACCTGATCACTAATGGAAGCCAGTTATCTCAACAATGGTTCACTCTTTTTCCTCCCATTCATGTACTGTCATCATGCCTTAGTTTGAAATTGTTTCTTTGTCCCACTCCCTTTATTCCTCAATGGGGATTTTTTACAGCTTCTGTAGTCCTCATTATTTACTGCAAAACTGGATTCTCGCAGGGTGCATTGATTGTCATCTTTTTAAAGAACATTAGTCATTTTAGCGCCAGTAGAAATGTTTTTATTTTGGAGTAAAATGCGTTCGAGTGATTTGGTACTTTCCAGCACATTGATAAAGCCTGCTGTAAACATGTAGGATTCCTAAAGTGTGCTTTACTTTTCTTTCGCAAACTTTCACGCTCTGCAATTCATCCTGGTTCTCGCTTTCAAGCCCTTGTGGGCTGGTGGCGTAAAAAAACACTTTCTCTTCTCTCGGCCCTGTTTTCTTACTCTGGGGTATGGCAATGTTGATTGAAAAGTCTGAGTTGCCTGATGAGGAAGGGCAGAAGGTGATGTTAACTGCTGTCCCGGCAACCTCTTTCCTGATGTAGCAAAGTGGTCATTGTAATGGTTTCGAGTCAATAACAGGTTCAGGTCCCGAAAGCTGAAGATGTCAATAATTTACTGTGAATAATGTATGTGAATAGAAAGATGTGAATGCATTTAGCAGTAGGTCTGCTTGATTTATTTTGTTATAAAGGTATAGAATTTGGGGGCATTTTCCCACTTACTACTTATGGTTTTCCAGATAAGACACAATATTTTAGGTAAATGTGCCCCTGTTTTAATATGAAATTGTTAGTTATTGAAATATCACAGGCAGATAGCGTTGCAGTATTGCTGCATATTTGCCTTGCGCTTTTGACGAGAGCATGTATTTATGGATACAATGTTCATTGATGTTTGCCCAAAGCTATACCTGTACCTACTGTATTAGCAGACAATTTGGTAGGGGAACAGGAAAATGCAGTATTGACATGCAGGCTGTGTTGATCAAAGTCTTGAAGCTGTGTGTGTGAAACGTGTTCACATAGCACAGTGGTGATCATCTGCTAGTCTCCCAGTATTCACAATACCCCTTTAATGCACTAAAATAATCCACTGTGGTTTTCCTTTGCTGAAGGAGGGAGTCCTGTGGGAAACCAGAGCACACCAGGGCACCCTGGGGCAGTGGACCCTGGGCCCACAAGGAAGGCCAGCAAGTTGTTTTGATTCTGGGGGGAGTGACATCACCTCTGGAGTTTTCTGGGTTTTTTTTTTTTCAGTTTTGTAGTGCCAACACGTATCATAAGTAGAAATGTGGTCACCCTCACCCCACCCCCTCGGCCACATCGCTTCACTCGCTTCAGAGGGTGCAGTTTCTCCTTGCCCTTGATGTTACTGGCAGTCCATGTGCCGGAGGCCGTGTGTGATGGTTTTGTACAAGTTTCGGTTGCCAAAGCAAGAGTATCAGTTGGTGCACGTAAGTTCGTAAAATCTTGTTGAAACATTGTTTACTGGATAGGATAATGTTTCATTAAAGAAGTCTGGATACCAAGGTGGCCACAACAATAGCAAACAGTTTTTTTACTTGAACTTAATGAAGCTTTCTGAAACATGTCAAGTAACCGAAACATGTTAAGTCTGTACAGCAGGTCAGGCACTACATTTGGAAGACAGAACACCTGAGAGTAGTAGACCGGACGATTCATTGCTTTCTATGAATACTGAATGCTCGCAACAAGAGGGTTTGCTTTTTGTCAGCATACAGAACACTGCTTATCTGTTAGTAATTAACAAATAAAAATAAAAGTTAGTTTTTAAAGGATGTTCTAAATCCACACCATTGTAAGCTGTAGTATTGTTGTAGCGTGTTAGGTTCAAAAGAAGCAGCTGAAGATTCTATTTAATTTCCAGCTCATATATATTTCAGTAAAAACATTTTTAAAAAATATATTATTCTTTAACAGTTAAGTTTTTTCAGTTTAGAACAGGCTATCAGGTTGTTACCAAAACAGTCATTTATATATTTTGAGAATTTATTTACAATGTTTTAAAGTCGCTCTAGCGAGCCACTAGGTTGTCAATGTAATCTACTTTTTTTATTTTATTGTACCCGTTGTTGGCAAGGTTTATACAGTTAATCAGAATGTTTCTGACTTTTTCGATATTATTTTTAATGTAGAGTTGGAGGACTGAAGTGGAATCAAAGACCATTCAACCCAAGTAATTTTTACAGCAA